TGCGTCCTCGCTCTGCTTCAGGTTTGTTTGCAAAGCACATCTCTGCATGGAGCTGCTGGCTTGTAGCAGAAAGGGAAGGGCTGTCCTTGGGTGTGAGAGGGCTGAGGAAAGAGAAAGTGTGTGGGAGAGCTGCAAACACGTGTTGGTGCAGAGCGCTGTGTGTCTGCGTGCGCGTTTGTGCTGCTGGTGTAATTAATGGAGGAGTCCAATCAGAGCTCATTGTGCATGGAGCAGCAAGGGGCCCTCGAAGAGCACAGCAGAGCTCATGGCTGCTGCTCCCCGATTGCAGCCTGGGGCTCTGAGAGCCCTGTGGGTGGGAAGGGCCCTGGGCTGTGCTGCCAGCATGGCCTCGCACCACTCTTCACGTTTTCCATTTTTTCTTTCTTTTTTCTTAATTTTCATGCTGGGGTGTCTTTGCTGAGCCGAGCTCAGGAGCTGCAGACGTGTACATAACGTATCTGTGTCAAAGTTATGTAACCACTCCATTAATATAAACCTTGCCCAGCTGCAGGAATGCTTACAAACTCCTCGCCTCTTATGCAATTGCATGGGAGCACGCAAAGCTAAGCTTAAAAAAAAAAAAAAAAAAAAAGACATGGATTAAGTTCATACTAAATAAATAAAAGGCACAAAACCCAACACCTTGATGCTCTTCCTCTTAAGGGCACAGCTGGCACAGATGTCAGACGGAACCACCCCTCATCACAGCCATACCTCAGTAGCCCCATGCACAGCTGCTGGGAGCACAGCTGGCCCAGCTTGCCTGTGCTGGCTGAGGACATGGCTGTGGGGAAGGACACTGAGTGTGCGGGGCTACAGGAATCACTGAGCAAGGTGAGGTGTGTCAGCGGCCAAATGCAACTCGTTGTGGCTGCTCCCATTTGCACAAGTGGGTGGTATTCAGTCAGCTGGGTGGAGTTGGCACTGGGGTGGTTGGAGGCACGGAGCCTCGTGATCTGTGTGGGCTGCAGTGCACATCCTCACTGCACGTCGTACCTCCAGGCCCAGCAGTGCTCCTGGGGCAGCCTTGTGTTTGGGCTTCCATTCAATATTCCTTGCCTCTGGTTATGAGCCAACGCAAAACCCCTCCTCCCATTCCTGTTTGCAAAGGAAATAAAATGTGGGGAAAAGCCACCGCCGTCAGAGCTGCACTCAAAGCAACATTGGAAGGACAGCATGGGAGCCCTCAGCCTCCCTGCTCCATGGGCACAGGGTGTGGGTAGAGGCCTTGGGGACAGTGTGGGGCTGTGGGACAACGCGCCACCGAGGTTTTGTGCAAACCATTTTGCAGGGACTGCATTGGAAACTCAATGACAGAGAAGGATCTCCATGGTGAAGAGGTCAGCGTTGTCCAAATGAGCCCAGAGGGCACTGCCACTGTGGGGTGCCCCCATTGGTGATGTTGTCCCATCTCATTAACAGGGTTTGGGCATCGCCCAGTGCCCGGCTGACCTCTCACATCACCCACACCTCTGTGACCAACGACCCGAGTGCTGCACACACAACCACAATGGTTGAGGCACGGACAGCACTGCTGTCCCAGCACTGCACCCTCACACCCAGACCGGCTGCCTGTGGGCCAGAGCAGAGCTGCAAAGAGCAGCACTGTTTGCCCACAGGCAGAATTCTGGTGCAGGAGTTATTTTAATCCCGTGGTGACTCACAGCTGCACACTGTGACTCACTGCAGGGCTCAGCCGTGGGGCGCCTGGAAGATGTGTCAGGTTCTCTGTGCAGGATGGGGCTGCAGGCAGCGGGAGGGAGCTGCCAGGTTTTGGCTGCCTATGGCTCTGCAAACATGGCCTGGCCCTGGGAAATTGGGAGAAGGCACAGAATGGCTCAGCATGGCATGGCATGGCATGGCATGGCACAACATAGCACTGCATAGCATAGCGTGGCATGGCATGGCACAGCACGGAGTGGTGCTGCATGGTCTCTGACCCCTACAAGGGCAACCCAAGACTGTTTGGTCCACTCCTTTGGATAATTCGGACCATTTCTGGATCTCTCAGGAAATCCCACGCAGGGTTTTGGGTGCTGTGCTGCAAATGCTGTATTTGCTGCTGGCACGGCTGCTGGAGCGCTCCCATCCAGGAGCTCTGAAATGCAATGAATCACCCCAAAATGCAATGAATCACCCTGAAACCCGCACTTCGCCCTCCCCTCTCTCCGCTCTCACTCCCCGCACAGGCAGTTGGCGGCCGCAGCGCTGGCTGCCCCACGTGTTTCTGAGCCCGTGCAGAGCCGCCGCCGCACAGCGCGATGCCAGCGGTTCTGGGAGGCTCCGGTTTGCAAAAGGGAACGACGACAAAACTCCTCCGAAGAGGACAGAATTCCGCAGCGGTCTCCGAGAGGTGACTTTAGCACCGATGCGCCGGGAGCGGCTCCTCGTGCGCTGCTTCCACGCAGGTGCGCGACGAACGGCGGTGCGTGGAAGCGCCGCGCGGGGCGGCGGAACGCGCACGGAGCGCCTCGCTCCGAACCCGGCGGATTCGCCGCCGCCCGATCGGGCCTGGAAACGTTTCTTTTTTTTCTTTTTGGCAGCGCTCTCTCGCAAATAGCAAACCCTGCAGCCTCCGTCTCGGCACCGCCCGGAGCGCTTTTGCACCGACGGATTTGTTTTGGTTTTCTTTTTTTTCTGTTTGGATTCGGAGAAAAACGATCCCCGCTTCCCGGAATCCCGGCGAGCGGCAGCAGGGGCCGCTCCCTGGCGCGGGGCCGGGCGGCGTCTGGGGCACCCCGGGATGCTCCGCGCCGTGCCGCGCCGCGCCGCTCGGAGCTCCGGGAGGCGGCCCCGCGCTAATTGCATAAGCGGGACGTCAATGCCCGCGGGAAGCGCGGGAAGATGGCGCCCCGCGCCCTGCCCCCGCCGCGCGCCGCCGCGCCCCGCCGCTGCCCCGGCGGCCCCCGAGCGGGCGGGCGCTGAGCCGAGCCCGGCGGCGGCGGCAGAGCGGCGGAGGAGCGGCGCCGAGCGGTGAGGGCGGCGCGGAGCGGAGCTGCGGGAGGCGGCCGGGGCGGCGGGGCCGGGCGGGACGGGACGGGACGGACCGGCGCCGCAGCGCCTTTGAATGAACCAATGGCGGAGGGTCTCGCGGCTGCGGGGCCGCCCGCGGAGCTCCCGCCCGGCAGGTGCCGCCGCTCCCGGTGCCGGTGGGGTCCCGGAGCGGCGCTGCGGAGTTCCCGGAGCGGTCCCGGCGGCGGTGCGTGGCTGCGCCCGCCGCGGTGTTCGGAACCTCTCGGCGCGGCGGCGCTGAGCTCCGTGCGGTGACGCGCGGCCGCTGCCGCTGTGCGGCTCTGCCCGGTGCGTTCGGCTCCGTCCGGCGGCACCGCGCTGTCCCCGAGTTGGGCGGCGGCCCCGCGGGGCTCAAATCCCGGGCGGCGCGGCGCTCGGATCGCTTCGACCAGCAGCGCTGCGATCCGCGGCGTGAGGGCCCCGCACGGAGCCCCGAGGGGAGGAAAGTGACATCGGGGCGGTGCTGCCGGCGGTCGGGGCTCCGTCCCGAGCTCGGAGCCCTCGGCGGCGGCGAAACGCTGCCGCTCGGTTTCATCCCCTGCTGCCCGCGCTGCTCCCCGCTCCCCCAGCGGTCCCGTTGGCAAAACTGCAGAAGGAAATCGTCAACTCGACTTCGCGTTCGATTTAAAGCTGCCGATGCTGAGAGCGTCCGGGCGAACCCCGTGCTTACGGAGCGGGCGCCTCGCTCGGCCCGCGGGCACATCGCGCCGCTGCTGATGGGAGGTCGCCTCCGTCCCCGCAGGCTCTGCTCATGGAGAACGGGACGCTGAACTCCATCACCCGGGACGTGCACGGGGCTGCTGGGCGCAGGGGCAGCAGCTGCAGGGAGCTGAGCGAGGGGCAGTACGTGCTGTGCCGCTGGACCGATGGGCTGTACTACCTGGGGAAGATCAAAAGGGTAAAGAGGGCATCTGGAAGGGTAAATGGGCACTCAAAAGGGTAAGAAAGCATCCAGATGGCTTAAGTGGGCATCCGGAAGGGTAAAGTTGGCACACAGAAGAGTAAAGAGGGAATTCAGAAGGGTAAGAGGGCATCCATAGTGCGCCTGGTGCGGGCGCTGTTCTCTGGGGCAACTTGCAGCGTGCTGACCTGTGCTGTGAAGTGACTGTGGTCTTTGGAATGACTGGGATTGATGTCCTAGCTGGGTATCTGCCCTGGAACCTGCCTTCCTGCAGCTCTGAGAGATGGGGAAAATGGCACCGGGGAAAGAGGAGAGTGCAAGCAATGGGAGCAGGCATTCATTGGTTCTTTGTGTTCTGTCCCTGCAGGTGAGCGGCTCCAAGCAGAGCTGCCTGGTGACGTTTGAGGACAACTCCAAGTACTGGGTCCTCTGGAAGGACATCCAGCATGGTGAGTGCTACCTTCTCATGCCCTCCTCCTGGGAGCCCATGTGCCGCAGGCAGCACTGTAGGGCCATCACCACTTTCTCCATCCTGCAGCCGGCGTCCCTGGGGAGGAACCCAAGTGCAACATTTGCCTGGGAAAGACATCGGGGCCCAGGAATGAAATCCTCATCTGTGGGAAATGCGGGCTGGGTGAGTGCGGGTGCATGGCTCTGCGTCCTGCTGCATCCTGCATATGTACAGCTAGCTTAGTGATGCTGACCCCAAGCTGTCCCATAGGTTACCATCAGCAGTGCCACGTCCCGGTGGCGAGCAGCAGTGAGGGCCCACTGGGGACACCGTGGTTCTGCCGTCGCTGCATCTTCGCCCTGGCTGTGCGGGTGAGTGGGGCTGCGGGGCGCTGCGGGGTGGGCTGTGGTCTCAGTCCTGACCCGGTGCTTCTGGCTCCTGCAGAAGGGGGGTGCCCTGAAGAAGGGAGCCATTGCCAAGACACTGCAAGCCGTCAAGATGGTGCTGTCCTACAACCCTGACCTGCTGGAGTGGGACTCTCCGCACCGCACCAACCAGCAGCAGTGCTACTGCTACTGTGGGGGCCCTGGCGAGTAAGCACTGCCTGCTCAGGGGCTGTCCTGCTCTGTTTCATGGGTGTTTTTCTTCCAAGAGAGGGTCTCTGCTTGCACGGCCATTCTCTGGTGGCTCCGCTGCTTGCTCTGCCCTGCACTGTCTGCATGCAGTTCCTTGCCAGTGAGGGTTCACATTCCTGGCTGGGGCTGCTCACACTGCCCTCCCCGGCACCAGCTCCTCTCCTTCCCCAGGTGGTACCTGAAGATGCTGCAGTGCTACCGCTGCCGGCAGTGGTTCCATGAAGCGTGCACTCAGTGCCTCAGTGACCCCATGATGTTCGGGGATCGGTACGTTCCCATGTCCCACAGCTCCCAGCTGCATCTCCACACTAGGGCAGGTGCTGCATCCTTACGGGGTGATCCCACCACCTTTATGCTCTCCATCCTCACTCTTTTCCAGATTCTATGTGTTTTTCTGCTCCGTGTGCAACCAGGGACCTGAGTACATCAAGCGCCTTCCCCTGCGATGGTGAGAAACGGCCGTGGCCCCGTTGTGCTGTGCCGGGTCCCCAATGGGCTCGTGGGGCACCAATGTGCTGTGTGTGCTGTCAGGGAGCCAAAGCACGCCTTCACCAGGAGAAAACTGCAAAAAGCAATTTGGGAATGAGCCATCAAGTTTTGAGATTAAATATAGGTTTCTGTGGTACTTCATAGTGCACCTTGATGATCTGAAAGCACTTTGTAAAATATCCTAACAGTGCTAGCTGCATTGGGGTGTTGCACAGAGCAGCACTGGGTGCAGGAGAAGGGAAATCCTGCAGGACATGTTGCTTGGCTTTCACTTTTGGAGATGCAAGTGTGAAGTCCCGTAGGAGAGACTGTTTTGTAAACAGTCTACATGTGAGTAAGAGCCATCCTGCTCTCATACTTGAGTGCAGTGAGAGTGCATGGCTGGAGCTTGGTAGGAAGCTGCAGCAGTGGGTGTCTGTGCTGGGACTGGCGCAACCTTGGGCTCCTGACCTCAGGGCTGCTGTGGGGTCTCAAGGCACAGAGCTGTGTAGTCATGCTATGCCCTGGGCCAGCATTGCTGGGTGTGGGCTGTTCACTGCTCCCTGACCTGCTGACCTTGGTCGCTCCCACAGGGTGGACGTGGTTCATCTCGCCCTGTACAACCTGGGCGTGCAGAGCAAGAAGAAGTACTTCGACTTCGAGGAGATCCTGGCCTTCGTGAACCACCACTGGGACCCTCTGCAGCTCGGGAAGGTAATGCCTGCGGGTGTTGGGTGTGAAGGGTCAGAGCCTCAGGGGCACAGGGACACGGGGGGCAGGAGGCCAGAAGGGGAAGGGGTCGGGGTGGCCGTCCTGCCCCAAGGAGCTCAGGCTGGTGTCTCCCCGCAGCTGACCGGCACCCCTGTGTCCGAGCGCGGCCCCCACCTGCTCAATGCCCTCAACAGCTACAAGAGCAGGTGAGTGCTGGGCTGGGAACAGAACAGTGCACGGAGTGCTCCTGCCCTCCTGGGGCCCATTCGTCCCCCCGGGCTGAAGCCTGCTTCCTCCCCAGGTTTCTCTGTGGGAAGGAGATCAAGAAGAAGAAATGCATCTTCCGCCTGCGGATCCGCGTCCCGCCGAACCCCCCCACCAAAGTGCTGCCGGAAAAGGCGCCGGGCGAGAGGGGCTCCTGTGAGCTGAAGAAGAGAGGGAAGAGCAGATTTGTGCACAAGGACAGGTGAGCGCTGCACAGCCACAAAGACAGGTGGGTGCTGTTATGCAGCCCCAGCCCTGTATCTCACCCTACATCTCGCCTTGCAGCCTGCTCCCAGGGCAGCTCCAGCAGCAGAAACGGCGTGCGGTGCGGCGGAAGAGGGCCAAGTTCCTGCTGGAAGATGCCATCCCCAGCGTGAGTCCCTGCGGGCTGCGGGACGGTCATGGGAGGAGGGAGTGCTGCGGTGGCCGGGCAGAAGGTTCCGAGCCGCTGTGTGGTGTTGAGGTGCTGGTTTTTGTGGTGCAGAGCGACTTCACCTCTGCCTGGAGCACCAACCATCACCTGGCCAGCATCTTTGACTTCACACTGGATGAGATTCAGAGCCTGAAGAGGTGAGTGCTGCCCAGCCGAGGTGCTGGGGGAGCTCTGAGGTGCGGGGCCGCGGGGCCGACGCTGCCTCCATCCCAGTGCCAGCTCGGGGCAGACCTTCCTTTCCGATGTGGACTCCACGGATGCCGTCAGCACCTCAGGCTCAGCCACCACCAGCCTGTCCTGCGAGTCCAGGTGAGGGCTGTGGCCCCTTCACCCCCTTCCTGAGGATCTTCTATCTCCCCTCACAGCACCCCATTACCTCTCTCCCTGTCCCGCAGCCGGAGGACGGTGGGCAGCCGTAAGCGCAAGCAGACAGTTCTGACCCCCCCCTCAGCACGGCCCAAGCGTGGCAGCGGGGCAGCAGGCAGGCAGCCAGCAGTGGGCAGCCCCCAGGGCAGCGAGGTGACATGTGGGCCTGAGCGGCTGGATGATGGCATTGACAGCCACACCTTCGAGAGCATCAGCGAGGACGACTCGTCGCTTTCACACCTCAAGTCGTCCATCAGCAGCTACTTCGGGGCAGCGGGGCGGCTGGTGTGCGGGGAGAAGTACCAGGTGCTGGCACGGCGTGTGACGCTGGAGGGCAAAGTGCAGTACCTGGTGGAGTGGGAAGGGACCACCCCCTACTGAGCCCCCGTCCCTCTGGTCCCAATGCCTTTTCTGGAGCTGACAGCGGAGCCCTTGGGTGCAGCCAGGCTTTGGTGCAGCAGAGGAGGAAGAGGAAGAGGAGGAGGAAGATGCCCTGTGCTTGGCACCCTGGCTGTGTGGAGATGTGAGGGGTGGACCCCCTCAGTCTTTTTATTGTTTTCCTTTGACAATTGTTGTTTTACTGGCCACGTATATGCAAAGAGCCATGCTTCGGCCTTCGGTCACACTGGAGGCACCAGAGGAGTGGGGCAGCTCAGGCCCCTCCTGGAGCACCACATCCAGGCTGGAGCAGCAGTCTTGCAGGGACCCGTGCTGAAGCACCATTGCTGTCCCACTGTGGAGCCCAATGGCTCATCCCTACACCATAGGAAATAGCAGGTGATGCCGCAGCCCTTGTGTGGGCTTTTCCTTCTGCCAAACCCATTCATCTGAGGAATGTGATTTGCTCTGAGGGGAGGACACCCTATGAATTGCTCAGACCCTATCCCAGGGCCTGGATGTGCTGCGTTCCCCATCCCAACAATCACCTCTTGGCACAGCTCAGCCAAACACACGCACGTGCCTTAAACCAGAGCGGGCACCACCCGGACTGCTCTTCATCCCCTCAGAGATGCCCGTCCTGCAGTGCCAAACCAGCCAAGAAACCAAAAAGGCAGTGGAGTGCTCCCCTGCCCATGGGGCTGTCCCTGCGGTGGGCATGCTGCTGCTTCACCGTGGTTTTCTATACCGAAGGAGAACAAGAACCCCTTTTTGTCTAAAGCAATACGGTCACTTTGTTCAGGGGCAAACTTTTTTTAAAAAAAATTCTACTCTCAGATGTACTCGTTAGGTTCTTTCTAAGATATGCTGATGGATGTGTGCTGCTCTGCCCCATCCCCCCCAGCTGAGCCGCGTGCTCCTGCAGCATCGTTCCTCTGCGTGTTCATGGTCTGCCAGCCGGGGGATGAACGGAAAAAGCTGTTTTATTGCAGAAGTACTGAAATGATTCACTCTGTCGAAGTACAGCGAGGGTGTGGGGAGCAAGGCAGGGTGCTGCCTCGTGTTGTATAAAGGTGAAAATCCATCGGCATGAGAGAGCAGATCGCAAACAGAACCCGTAAAACACAGACCTGCAGAACAGCCCCACTGCTGCGGTGAGGCAGTGGGACACGCAGTGTGGGTGCTGCCCATGGCATGGGCTGGGTGTGAGCTGCAACACCCCGAGCACTGGGCACAGCAATGCAAAGCCCTGCAATGCCTTCACGCTGTGCCACCAGTGCCGTGCGCTGGCGCAGTGCTCAGTGCAGAGCTGTGTGCTGAGCTCTGTTCAGCTGCAGCCACGGCACGGTTTGCATCTGTTCATCTGAATGGAACTGCCAAAACAGTGTTTTGGGAGAGGTTGCTGCCAGGATCCCACCATGCCTGGTGCTGGGCCCATCCATCCAGCCCAGGCTGGTCATCAGGGGAGCACGTTTCCACATCATGAGTGCCTATGGAGCCCAGGTGACCATCTCAGTTACTGCCTGGATGGCTGGGGGCTGCCAGGAACTGTGCCCAGACCAACCCCATGGGATGGGCTGGGAGAACATGGGTGAGCTTGGCAGCTCCCTCCTCATCCTCCTCCTCTCCCTCTCCTCTCCTCCTGGCCTATTGCAGAGAACTGAATATGGAGCCTTTAAAACTATTTTTGTTTCAGAATATATTTTGCATTAGTTATAATAGATATTATAAATGACTCTATGCACCTTCTAAAGATTTATGGTTTCAGGCTGCTGCTTGTAATAACCAACTCTTGTTATATCTGAGTTGTAATTAATATGTCTGATGTACAATTAAAAAGTCTTTTTTTCTTCTTCTTCTTTTTTTTTTTTTTTTCAACATCACTGCCTCTTTGTGGTACAGGGATTTGGGCAGCTGAGGGGTCAGTGTGTGGCCCTGGGCAGCACCCCATGCCTGGGTCATCCTGCAGAGAAATGCTGCCAAGCACGGGGAGAGCAGAAGAATGCAAACAGTTGTGCATGGGCACAGCCCAGTTACCATTTTCCCTGCTATTTTGTTTCCTGCACCTGGGAGCCCTCCTTGCTCTACCTCTGACTGCTGCTGGGGTCATGCCAGCCCTTGGGCACAACTCAGTGCCTGCACCACAGAATCACAAAATTGTAGGGGTTGGAAGGGATCTCCAGAGATCATCGAGTCCAATCCCCCCTGCCAAAGCAGGTTCCCTACACCAGGTACACCACATCCCCACTGCCTGTGATGGACACCAACAGAGCCCTGACAGGACCTTCCTATCCTGCTCACCCCACCCATGCACTGCAATGACTCATGAGGCTGCAGGTAGGAAATGCTCTGGTTTATTCCCTTCCCAGTCATACAATGGATTTATTTTGTAGCTTACATCCAATTACACAATGTGAGCATCTTTTTCTAAGGCTCAGCTTGGTCTGGGGAGAAAGCAGCAGAGCTATGCCCTGCTGGTCCTGGGTCCCCAAATGGGGTTGCTTTGCCCAGCTCAGCCCAGCTGACAGGCAGGGTGCTTGCTGGGGCTCAGCCAGTGCCATGTGCGTGAGTGGCACATGCTGCACCATCCCCAGGTGCTGCAGGGCAGTGCTAAGAGCACCTTCAGTCAGCAGCAGCCCTGTGGTGCCCTTCCCATTCCAGTGCTGCCTCCAGCTTGGTGCTGCTGCAGGGCTAGACCAGGGAGGGGGCATCTCAAGTTCAAATGAAATTCCCCATCTCAAACTCCTGCGCTATAGCACACCCCTGGGGATGCGAGCTGCTCTCCTGTGTCACTCTGTGCACAAAGCCCAGCAGAACTTGTTTCATCGTGTCTCCTCAAGAGAAGGGTGGTTTCTGGGCTGTTCATTCAGTCCCGCGGGACGTTTTCTCCAATCCACTTGAGGTAGAGGGGGTTTCCTTGGTCAATAGGCAGGCTGATAACTTCGGGGATTTCAAAGGGATGGATGGATCTAAAGTGGAAACAGACGCAGCGGCGCAGTGCCACAGTCGCATCCCGCAGCAGGAACAGGCTGGCGGTGCAGGAAGCAGTGTGGTGCGTGGGCCCAGCCCCGGGTGATCCCCCCTGACTTCAAAGCACTTTGTGCCACGTGGGAATTTTGCTTTGAGTTTGAGGTTTACCACAGCCACCAGCTGTGCTCAGCACTCAGCTCGTGGGGTGGACAGGAAATCTGCAGATGGGGGGGACCTACAGACCCTGAAGCCCTCTTTGTCCCATGCAGGGAGCCCGATGTTCCCAGCAGCCTGTTCCCAGCTGGTGTGGTGCTGGGGCTTTTCTGACTCTCAGAGTGCACCCAGCAGTGCCTAAAGCCCTCCTGGCTGGGATTGGTCTCGAGGAGATCCAAAGCCTGAGGATGAGATGACTGCATACTGCGGATAGGAAGCCCCGTGCTCACCTGACATAGTTGGACAATTCACTTATTTTGGACGTCCTTGTTTTTACTAACTGCAGAGAGTAAAGAAAAAAAGAGTAAAGGGAGGGAACAATCCTGAAGGCACAGCTCCGCTGCACCTGGCCATGCACCACTGCCAAGACCCTGGGGGTACTCGGGGTTGGTGCCACCCTGCAGCCCCATTTGGCTTGGGCTCTGGGATGGGGATTGCTGTGTCATGGGACATTGTCACTTACCAGCAGGATTTCAGTGGATTCTTCCAGTTCCCCTTTCCAGAAATACCTGTATTTAAAAGGAAAGAACCATTAGCACATCCAGCTATGGGTACGGCCCTGCTGATCTCCCTGGTGCTTGATGCCCCTGCTTGGTGCTCCCTGCATGTGACTGTTCCTCTATGAAGAGGTGCTGGAGAAGCATCACCGGTTCTAAATGCCCACGATCCAACATGTGGGGCTGTAAGGCTGGGGCCACCCTTGATGTGCCAGGTCTGAGGGAGCTAAGGGCAGCAGGGCAGGGTGAGGTGAGCACTGGGAGAGCTGTGGGGTGCTGACCCCTCTGAATGAGGCAGGGAGACATTTTGTACGGGGAGCACAGTGCAGCGGGATACTGAGCGTGGTATCACAGTTTTTCCCTCTCTTTCCCTGCAGGAGAGGAGCTCTGCTTCTTGTGAGTCAGCTATGACCTTTCAAAGCAAAAACGGTGCCAGAAGGCCAAAGTGATTTCATCTGCATGCAGGGTCCCCATGTGAGGAGGCACATGGATACTCTCAGTGTCCACTGCGCAGGGTGAGGAGGAAGAACAGATGGAGCAGGTGGGTTTGCAGCTCAGCCCCGGTCCCCTCCTCCTTTGGGGTACAGCAGCCCAACTTACAAGGCCGAGCTCTTGGGCAGGATGTTCACGTAGGCAGCCAGCTTCTTGTCCATGATGCCCCTGGGTGAGAGAGGAGATGGTCACTGCCACTTGGCTTGCTGTGGCTCGCAGGGACATCCCTCATGCTGCCTCATGCAGCAGACAGGAGACATGGACTGAGGCTAATTATTACCCTGAGAAAGCAAAGTGATCTCCAGCTGGGGCTGCTCTGCCTCAGATCCTCCTGGCCTGGGGCTGATACTGTCCCTAAAGCTGTCACAATCCCCGGCAGCAGGGAGCGGTGCCTGGCACAGAGCTGTCCCCATGGACAAGTCAGAGGAGCCGTGGCCTGGAGGCCAGCTGTGTCAGGAGGTTGTGCGCCCCAGCCACATGCAGCTCGAGTCACTTAAAGATTGTAAAGCATCTTGAATTAATTTGCAGCCCAACAAACAGCAGCAGCATGAATGGAGATCTCCCCGCTGTGCTCATCGTGTAGGACACATGGCACAAATCACTTTGTTTTCCCATCTGCAACTTCCAAGTCACTTGAGTGCCGGAGCCTTTTCGATACCTCCTGATTGCTTCTGCTTTGCCTCAGCAAACTGTGATCCTGACTGATATCCTGCTCTTTGTTCTGGCAAGCTGGGTGGAAACAGGCAGCCACCATGGTAACGGAAAACACTGTGAGATGCTGCATGTGGGCAGTGCAGAATGCCTGCATAATAGATGGTATCTTTGGGTTGGGTATCTAATGGTGTTTCTGTGTCCCTGCCACACTGCCACACTAAACAATAGGCTCTGAAGGGAGATGGATGAAATATTAATAAGAAAAGCCAAGGAAATGATGCACATGGGCCCAAGGCAGAAGCAGCTCATGGGCTGCCAAGATGTTGAGTGAGTTCCGTGGCATGCAACCACCCAACAGCAGGTATGGGACAGGGGCCACATCTCTGGGTGGGCCATGAGTTTCCTCTGAGGACTTTAAGTTATCTCATTGAGACAGTGAAAACCAGTTTCCACAAACCCTGATCTCCTTTTCCTTAAAAACAGCAGAAAATTTCCCTGCAGCCTGATTCTTTAGAGCACTCCTTTGAGCAACATGAAGGAAGAGCACACATGACAGCTCCAAGAAAAAGGTGGGTGGGAAAATAAATGCAGGAGCCCTGTGTCATCCTTCACAACCATTGCTCATTCATCCAAATTCCTGGAAAAATTACTCCACCAGTAGAAATGCAAGCAAAGTACACAGATCTCAGCAACAGAGAATGATTTGCTTCCTCTCCCTTCCTTGCAAGATAAGGAACAAAGAGCAGAAAACACTTGCAAAGCTGTTACGACAAAGTGTTCTCAGGAACAGAGGGATCTTTTCACCAGCATGTACAGATGTTCTTTTTCTTCTGGAGACATCCAGTGGCACAGGTACTATTCTACTTGAATTTCTTCATACAGTTGAAGTATTTAGGGTGACACAAAATCCCTTTCAGTAGCCGGTCAGCTCCTGAATGGCTGCTTGGGAATGCTCCGCTCTTACAGAGGACAGGGAGAGTTTTTGGCAAGCAAGAGCATAGCAGGGAAAACAGCTCAGAGAAGGTGTTGCAGGAAACTTAATGGTCCATCATAAACATTTCCCCAGTCAACAGTTTCACTGCTTTGAACAAACCACCTATTGAGTCACAGACTGATGGATATGTGGAAAAACTGCATGCAAAACATCATGCAGTGTATCTCATACACTGAAAGAGAAAAAAATATCAAGGTAAAGCCCTCACTCCCCAGAGTTTGTTCTGTGTTTTCTGTGGATCACTTATTCATATTTGTTTTTATGTTAGTGCACTGTGCACTTCTCAGGGAATTTGTTACTGTGCTGCTCAGAGAAGGATTATGGCATGTCAGAGGACATGGGGTTGGGTCTTAATCCAACTGAGGATGCAGAGATTTTGGGCCATGGCTTGAATGGATCTTAAAAACAAAAGGCAGAAGTGTCAAAGCCCTGACACAGCAGAGAAGTGTAGCTCCTTTCCAGGGTCAAGGAAAAGCTTTATTTTGCAAAAAAGCCCTTTCCAAACAATTGAAGCAGACAAGCAGGGAAAGGTTCTCGGTACCTTGCAATATCCTTGGCAATCTGCTCGTTGAGGCAGTTGATGAAGACGATGGAGTGGGTTCCAGAGACATAGCTGCCAGTGATGGCAGAGTGCAGCTGGAGAGCGAGGCTTCTCAGCATGGGGTACATCAGCAGAGACAGCGTCATCGCCTGCAGAGCAACATATGAGTGCTGATTGAAGGGAAAACGTTGCATTTTCTAAAAACAAGCATTTATCTTAATCTTACCTCTGGCTCAAAAGAGCACTTCAGTCTTCTTTCAACATTACAGCAGTGCTCATTGCAATTTAAGTGAGATTTATTCCCCCACAATGGGGCCAACCTAATGCTGTGCCAAGTTGCCTCTGTTCAGCTGTTTCTATTGCAAACAGGAGCACTCAGGACACATCCTGCAGCCAAGCGGGGACAGAGCCTCTGCCTCCCCGAGGATGCAGCTGGAGGAGAGCAGCATCTCCAGGAAGGGCACTGGACAACACATTCTGTGCAGGCCCTGCAGAGCTTTAGTCCTAATCTGCAAGTTCTTTCCTGCATTCTGCTGACAGATGTTTTGCTGTTCACCCAGCCTGTGACACAGACCTCGCAGAGCAGGGATGGTAAGACAGGGCCAAAATGCGGGTTTTAAGTTCATTTCATCTTAATTATCTGATAAGAATGTTACCGTCAAATTCAATCTGTTCACAGAAATCCTTACCGACACACAGCCTGAGTCTGTAGGGCTGCAGAACAGTACTGCTCTTTCCATGTGCTGGCAGCAGAGTGGCAACAAGTTGTTTTGCTGCACATCCCATTCCTGGCAAGCCCATAAGTTGCTCTTGGTAATCACATGCCATAAACACAGTCACACAGAAATGCAATCCATAAATTATCTCAGCTGGGAATAGCAAGGTTAATTTGGTGTGCTGAGTAATAACCAAAGGATGGGTGCCTGTGCTGGGGTTGCAGCACTGCTGTCTCTGCACAGCTGCTCTTCTCTTTGTCTTTTGTTGTTTTTTAAACAAACAGCGTCTGGCCCTTATTCAGCAACAGTGACAAAAAGGTTTTCATAAGACTAAGAAGATAGTCCTTTTTTCCTCCTTATTTCCACCCTTCTCTGTCCTCTGAACACCTCCCAGCACACAGATAATGTCAAAAGTGCACTTTTTTTAAAATTTTTTTTTTTTTAAGATTGAATTCTAAAAACATCTTGACACCACAAAGGAACACTTTTCCGCTGGGGAAATGACTGATGCTCTGTATTAGTTGTCTCCTCTTTTTCAGTCCATTTGAGGAAATGCTGTTTGTTATCACAAGATTTATCATCATAATTTTTCAAGCTTGTGTTTTTCCCCACAGAGCCATTGAACATTTACTGTACAGCAAATCCCACAACCTACTCCCACAGCCACAAGCCAGGCTGAGATACGCTGCTGTATTTACTTCTCCGGATTAGAATATAATCACATTCCCTGCTTAGGACAAACTCTGACCTGTTTAGCATGGCAATCATTAATCTCCTTGGAAGATGTATGTGCACGTGAAGAGGAAATCCCCATGAATACTTGTGGGTAAGTATTAGCATAACAGTGACCACTCCTTTGATTTTCTTGATGTTTTTATGTTAGCTTATGTTTGTTTCTGAAAAGAATGGTGACAACACAGAAGCACTGAATGTGCCACAAGGGATGGTGCAAAAGTGAAAGGCTGAACCTTCAGGATTTCCACCTGAGGGACCAAAGAAACTCCTGGCTGCCAAAAGGTTCAAGTGAACAAAACTGAACAGCCTGCTGTGCGATTATTTCACTGCAAAGCACTGACTGGCAGAACAGCAGCAGAGCTTAGAGACTAAGATGTGCGTGAGATGAAATTGTTCTGGCTTTGGTTAGCCATAAACAGCTTTAGGGATTAAAGTCACCTTGTAAGGAGTTTTCCTAAACGACTCTGCCTGGATGAAGCCCTGTACAAATCAAACAAACACACAACAACCAAACAACAACACAGCTTGTGCCAACAAGTGGTAAAACACCTCCGAAACTCGCTTTACTCGCAGCAACCCAAGAACGCCTTCCTCCTGCAGGCTCCTTCCCTTCCATACTCTCGAATTGCCCCCCAGGAGCCCCTCTGAAACCAACCCCTTGCTGCCCACTCCCACTTACCAGCAGCACGGTGCGGCAGCCCGGCCGGGGGCAACCTTGGGCGGTGGGCAGCGGGCAGCGGGGGCCCAAAGCCTCCATGCCCCGGCCGGGCGAGAGCTGCGTCCCGCTGCCTCCACCTGCTCTGCCTGCGCTGGGCAGGCTGCCCGGGACGGCTGCCCACAGGCTCCTCCTCCTTTGCCCTGCTGCCTGCCTGCCTGCCTGCCTGCCCACACGGGGTCATTGAGGTTGGGAAAGCCCACTCAGGCCATCCAGTCCAACCAGCCCACCTTCCTGCCTGCCCAGCGTGGGGCTGGAGTACAGCCCCCCTCCTCCTGCCTTCATCTTCCCATCATTCGGTGTTTTTCTCAGACTCTGGGGTTTTGTGCTTTGGGCTCTGTGCTGCAGAGCTGTGATGTTTCACGACTTCAGACGTGGGCACAGCGACAATCCGTACCTTCCCTGCTGTCCACAGACTGAAAAAAAACCCGACATTTTGTCTCCCTTCTGTACTCTTGATCTTATTTACCATTTGGGGCTTGGCCCACACAGCCTTGCTGCCCATGGCACAGCCTGTGAGCGCTGCCTGCCCCTCAGCAGCGACCCCCGAGCTGCTCCCAGCAGGGCTGAGCGCGACAGACGCCATCACAGACCCCGAACTTGCCCCCACTCCATGACTGAGCAGAGGGCTGTAGAGTCAGGGCACTGTGGTTAGGTTGAGGTTGGACTCGATGATCTTTAAGGCGTTTTCCAAACCGAGCAGCTCTACGATCAACCCCCTCACCGCCCCCCTCAGCCCCCCAACACCACCCCTCAGAAAGGGCGGGACAACGCTAGCCCCGCCCCCGCTTTATCCCCGTCCAATCGCAACGCGAGACGGTGGCGGAGGTCACGAGGGGGCGGGGCGCGGCCGCCATTTTGTTTACTGCGCGGCGGACGCGAAAGAGACCCTTAGCGACGGGGTGGCGTTGCTAAAGGCCGGGGGTGCGGCGGTCTCGCGGGATTTGGCGGCGGCGCCAAGATGGCGGAGGCGGTGGTGGAGCTGCTGGAGCGCGCGGCGCGGCAGGAGGCGCCTGTGGAGGAGCTGCGCGCACTGCGGCTCGCTGTGCAGGCCGTGCCGCCCGCCGCCCTGCGTGCCCGCCTCAGCGACGAGCACCTGGCAGCGCTCTTCAACCTCCTCGGCACCAGTGAGCGGTGAGCGGCCCGGCCCTGCCGCCCCCCGTCTCTCGCGGTGGCTCCCAGCCCCGTCCCTCGGCGAGGTGCGGGTCCCGCTCAGGGGTTTCTCTCTGTCCGCGCAGGGAGCAGCTGTCCGCCTGCGTTGCCGTCCTGGAGAGGCTCCTGCAGGCCCTGGACCCGATCTACCTGATCCAGAACCTGCGGGAGGAGCTGCGGAAGGGGCTGTTCCACCCCGACGACTCCGTGAAGATCCTCTCCATATCCCAGGTACGGCCTGAGCTCCGTGCTCATCCCAGCCTGCTGGGGTGCTTTGCTGCAGGCTGCTGCTCTTACTGTGCAGCGTGTGAGCTTCGTGACATACCTGCTAACCATAACACATACAGCTCTGTTTGGACAGAGATCACTTGTAACTGAGCCTTGTGTTTGTTATGGGCTGTTCTGAGTAGAGCATTCTAGGCCGGCACTGACAGCAGGTGTCATAGAACGAAGTGCTGCAGTGTTGTATTGCTCAGGTCCCTTCCTACCTGAGGCATTCTGTGATTCTGTAGTTTGGGACGGAACTCTGGTCATCGCAGGCCCAAGTTAAAAGCAATCCCAGTTAAAAGCAGGGCCATGTTACAGCAGGCTGCTTGGGATGCTGGCCTGCTGAGTTCTGAGTACCTCCAGAAATGGTGATTCGCTTTGCCTGGGAATCTGATCCAGTCCTTAGCGGGGGGAAAAGTCATAAAATGAATCACAGAATGGCCTGGGTTGAAAAGGACCACAATGATCACCTAGTTTCAACCCCCTGCTATGTGCAGGTCACCAACCAGCAGACCAGGCTGCCCAGAGCCACATCCAGCCTGGCCTCGAATGCCTCCAGGGATGGGGCATCCACAGCCTCCTTGGGCAACCTGTTCCAGTGCCTCACCACCCTCTGACTGAAAAACTTCCTCCTAATATCCAACCTAAACCTCCCTTGTCTCAGTTTAAAACCATTTCTCCTTGTCCTATCACTATCCACCCTTGGAAACAGCCATTTCTCCTCCTGTTTATATGCTCCCTTCAAGTACTGGAAGGCCACAATTAGGTCTCCTCAGAGCCTTCTCCAAGCTAAACAATCCCAGTTCACTCAAGCTTTCTTCATAGTAGAAAAAAGGCTTGTTATGGTGTTATTCAGTAACTTTATTTAATTATACCCATAGGTTGGGAGGATTGTTGAAAATTCAGATGCTGTTAGAGAAATTCTCAACAGTCCTGAACTACTACGGCAGATAATAAATTGCATTGGTGGTGAGAAAATAGCGGTGGCTAAGGAGGTAAGTATTGCTTTCTTTCTCTTCTGTAGATGCTACACAGAATGCCTTTTCTGCTGTTGTTGAAATGTCAGCTTCTACTCCTTGTTAAGGAAAAAAGAGCTCATGTTGCCTGGAAGACATTTATAATCATATCAGTGACTTAAGCCCAGAAGTTACTTAGATGTGATTAAAAACATTTACCTAGAGCTGTTTTCTTCCAGTAACTATTGGTGCACAAGTGAACTTAGAGGCCCACATTTGATGCCACAGGTTTGAATCATGGTAACTAAAAATAGTCCTTGTCAGCAGGAGAATAATTCTCGTTGAAATGTGAATGAGGACCACAATTTTAGACAAATAGCATGATTTAATATGTTAGTAAAGAACACTGAGACTAAATAAAATCATCCTGGATTTTCTTCCCTTTGTGTTGTTATAGCAAGCAATTGTTTTTGTTTGCAGGCCATCAAATCTCTCTCAAGAATAGCCCAAACACAAGATGGCTTAGAGGCTTTGTTTGTGAGCAGCCTATTAAGTGACTTGAAAAATGTCATGACAACAAGTGATGTTGTTCGGTACAGAGTGTACGAGGTAGGAATGGGGTCAATGTTGTCCTTACAATTATGTGAGTTTTCTTCATGTTTGTGTTTTGTCGAGGTGAGAAGGGAGCAGGGGGAGTACTGCACTACTGTACAGAGCTGTTAAAAACTCAGGTGTGGGGAAGAGACAGTGATGCTGAGTAGCATGCCAGTTTAGATATGCATGACAAAGGAGGAATAATGCAGTTTAGCTGTTTAGAGTTTAATGGGGGGATAGCAGTTCATCTTTTAAAGAAAAGAAGGTATGAATAGAAATCAGATGCATGTGCTGTCAACTTGCAACTCTATGTAAGCCTGTTTCAGGCAAGCATTTAGATTCTTTATGAAAAGATAAAATTATATGTAATATCTAAAGGGTTAATCTGTGTTATAAGGTGTATTTGGCCATTACTATGAATTGGTAATGTCATGTCAGGTGTATATAACTTCTTTCTCCTGTGTTTTTATTTAGCTAATTGTTGAGATTTCTTCAGTGTCAGCAGATTCACTTAATTACTGTGCAAACAGTGGATTAATATCAGACTTAATTGGAGAGTTGACTGGAGATGATGTTCTGGTCAGGTACGTTGTAGTGGATTTGAAATTTCCCAGACTGCTAAAGCAGTGGTACTTGACCCTAAAATAACCCTCTTTAAACAGAAGACCACATAAGCTGTTTGTCTGTTACAGAGCTACATGCATAGAGATGGTGACTTCACTGGCACATACTCCCCATGGACGTCAGTATCTTGCTCAGCAAGGAGTTATTGATAAAATTTCTAACATCATCATTGGAGCAGAAACTGACCCTTTCTCAGGCTTCTACTTACCAGGTTACATCATGCGTTTCTTATTTCCCGTGGTTACCCTTTGCAAGTATTCTATGTTGAACTGAGAGGACTACTAAGCTGTTTTAAAAGCCCTTGAATTTTTTGGATAGTAGAATTCAGATTAGATGTGCACACCATACAGAAGAATGGGCTTAATTTTTCTTAATTTATGCTGTTACTCCACTCTGAATACTTGTTTCTTGTTGTTTTCTATTAGGATTTATTAAATTCTTTGGAAACCTGGCTGTTGTAGACAGCCCACAGCAGATCTGTGAGCGATATCCTATCTTTATGGAAAAAGTCTTTGAAATGGCAGAAAGTCACGATCCAACCATGATTGGAGTAGCTGTGGACACGCTAGGAATCCTGGGATCAAGTGTGGAAGGCAAACAGGTTTTACAGAAAGCAAGTTAGTATCATCTTTCTCGGTAATAAAATTTTCTCAGTGTATTATAATATTAAAAAGTGTATTGATAATAGAGTAATGGAGAAAAGAGCTGAAAAACATATTCAGCAATCAAGGTTGTCTCTTCAAATAGCTGCATTATAGCAGATAAGGTGGTTTTTAATTGCCTTGTCAGGCATGGCAGAGCGAAATGCTCGCAGACAGAATTCTGGTGTCACAAGCATTATTTGAGTCACTCTTCTCTGGTGAGCTGCAGTGTACAAACTGTCAGTATGCCTGTAATTCCTTTGTTTCTCCTTATCTCATGGCCTTCTCAGCAGGGTGAGAAAAATATGAACTATCGTGCAAAGTCACTTTTTTTCTCAAAGGCTGCAATTTTTTTCTTAATATAAAATGGTTCAAATGACTGAAAGTAGGTTCTGGGTTTTTTTTTTTTGGTTTGTTTTCTTTTTACTGCTAGTCCAAAGTGAAGAACTTAAGTGGAGAAAAAAGCATGAACAGGTAACTGTTGTAGCACTGTAGGTTGGGATTGGGGGTTTCTAATCACAAATGTACTAAGCTTCCCGATGTGATTCAGTTATCTGGGAAACATAACTTTGCTTCTGGAAATCTCTGGATAGTCCACAGAACAAACATAAAAGCTTTGGATGCATCCATCTTAGGTCTGTATGAAGCAAAGGGAATCGTACTCTGCTTTTGTTACAGTGGATCAAAGTATTCTTTCTCAGGCTTTATGTACTACATTACTGGTAGGAGAAATTACTGGTAGGAGAATGTTGTATAATGTAACTAATTAGTAACATTGTACTTCTACTAAGGTCTGCCTGAATTACTCAAGGAACTGTTTTCTTACTTTCAAAGGAAGCAGATTTCATAATCTGTTAAGCAAAATAGGGCACCAGGCAAAGAATGCACCCACGGAGCTGCGGCTTCGATGCTTGGATGCTGTTTCATCTCTTCTCTACTTGCCTGTAAGTTTATTTGGTGGGTTGGTTTTCTGGTCGATTGGGGGTCTTTGTTTGTGTGAAGACTTATTCATAATTCTAACTAACCTTTCATATCTGTATGTTTCTGTGATATGTGCAGCCAGAGCAGCAGACAGAAGACCTTTTAAGAATGACTGAGTCATGGTTCACATCCTTATCCAGCCAACCACTGGAACTCTTCAGGAGCATCAGTACTCAGCCATTCCCTGATCTGCACTGTGGAGCTTTAAGGGTGTTCACTGTAAGTTTCTTTCTTTTATTAAAGATCAGGTCATGAATTGTAATGTCATACAGTTCCATGTTTTTCAGTGGAAGTCACAAATGGTGTTTTATTATATGAAGTCCCGAAGCAGTCAGAAATAATGTCTTTTCCATTGTGTCTCGCTTGTGTTCACCATTAAAAAATGCAGCAAATGAGTCATGTCTGCGGTGCTTTTCTTAGAAGCTTTAATTCAAAGGTTCTTTTTTCCTTGAAATCCTATACAGGAGGTCACTGCTTTGATAATGTACTTAAAATGCTGGAGAAGCACTGAACTCTACTTG